ACATAAAATTTATGTTTACGATCATCAAGGTTTACAGTCAGTTCGTAAAATGTTTTTTTTTTCGCAAATTCAGTCATATAAATCCAAAATGACGGATTAAATGACTATATATGCAGGATTTACCAACAAGTTAGGAGCCGTATACTACCGGGTAGAGGGTCGAAAATGAGTAAAATTTGGAACATATTGCTAAATCGGAATCGTTTCCGAGCTATAAGGATTTTAAGAAAATTCTGCGAAATTTGAACATACTTATGTTTTTTCGCACATAACTTCCGTTCCAAAAAAGATAGAAGTTTCAAACAGATAGATTTTGAAAGAGCTTTAAGAAGGATAATTTATTATTTGGTTTTGCATGTTTTTCGGAAATACAAGCATTCGAACTTTAGGAAAATTCAAATTTTACTCATCTTTTATTTTTTTACTTTTTTTCTCCCGAAAAATTGTCATGCATTTTTTTGAAATTTCCAAAATTTTCTTTACAGAATTCTGCCCAGCTTTAATTTAGGTCATTAATAGTTAAAATTTCTTTTATGATACAGGAAATATATCGTTAATATAAGGAAATATATCGTTTTTATAAGAAAATGTCAACCGTTTTTATTTTTTAATAAAAAAATCATTCTTAAATGCAGTTAACATTAAAACCGTAATTTTGAGAAAAAAAACTAATTTTAATATTTTTTTTTCAAATATATAAATTGTAGAGGTGGTTTTTCTTTTTTCCAACTTTTTGCTACAAATGCTCAATTTCTTAAGCTGTTGAGGAATAAGCTGGATGGAATTAAATATACGGAACTTGGTGGCCAAGAGATTATCAGTGTCCCCGAAAAGGTGAGTCAGATAACAAATTATCGTTTGAGCAGTCTGACCATCTTCGGTATGCACTTTCTCGCAGAACCTAGAAAACAATTAATTTGTGGAAAAAACTTAAAAAAAAAAAAAAAAATAGCAGGAATTTTTCTCCAAAATGTGTTAGATTTTAATAAAATTCTTAAAATTCAGTTTTTTTGGCAAAATAACGGTTCCTAAAAATGATAACTGCTTTCTAGTTAATATTAATTATTACACTTTATAATTAATATCAATAAAAATGAAAAATAACCACAATTTTTTAAGTATGTGCATATTTTAGGGTCTTTAAAATCTTGAAGCAAAAGTGGTTTTTTTGCTATATCTGCTGTACCACAAAAGATTTTTTAACGCCTTAAAAATTAAATTAAATCTTAAGCAGCTGGGCAAAAATTCTGTAAAGAAAATTTTGGAAGTTTAAAAAAAATTCATGACAAATTGTCGGAAAAAAAAGGTAAAAAATAAAAGATGAGTAAAATTGAATTTTCCTAAAGTTCGAATGCTTGTGTTTCCGAAAAAACATGCAAAACCAATTAATCCGCTTTCTTTATTTAAAGCCTTCTTAAAGGTCTTTCAAAAACTATCTATTTGAAACTCTAATATTTTTTTTTTTAACGGAAGTTATAAATAATTTCGGTAAATTTTCTTAAAATCCCTGTAGCTTGGAAACGGTTCCAATTTAATACTGTTCCGAACAAAAATTTCTACCCGGTTACACCCTCTACCCGGTGGTATATGGCTCCTAGCATGTCGGTGAATCACCGTGTATATACATATCTACATATATTAACTAACACAAATTTGAACATGTTCTGAAAAGACTTATCCTGACAGATAGACTTCATAGTATTACTGTATTGATACATAATTAAGCAATTAAAATTTATAAGGTGAATTATGTGTTAATACTGCATTATTACACAATATGGAAGTCAGGGTACATAACTATAAAATTTGATTTACACATCTTAATCGCTGAATTATGCAGTGACACTATGTCACTATATAGCGAATATTGATATAGCGATTTCAAGAACTAAAGTGGCATTTAAATATTGAATATAAATTTATTTTTGAAATATAAAAACACTTTATAAACTTTAAAAACTTTATAAATTTTTATATTGAAAATATGGAACAAACGCCAAAATGTATATGTACATTAGTTAATTTTAATTTCATTTATTAAACAATTTAAACTGTAATAAGTTGAATTAATCTTTAATAAGGTCAATAATAACTATTACTTAATAATTTTGAGTATACATGCATCTTGTTTTTATAACAAAAATTAGTGTTTTCATTTAATTTTTAAATGAATTAGATTTTTTTATTTTATTTATTATAAAAGTTATTGAAATTTTGTAATACGTGAACAAAAAACCTTGAAATTATAATAATACTGTGTTACTACAAAATTCAACAAATACTAGTAATGATCTCAATTGCATATAAATTGCAGTAATATGATATTGATACACAATTCAGTCTAGAACTATGAATTGCTGAATTGTATATTAATACCGTATTAGCACATTTTGGAAGCTAAGAAGTGTATTCAATTGTTTTTTTAAATATTTAACATTTCTTTTAATTATTTTTTCGTTAGAATTTACTTTTTCACATTTCTGTGAATCGATAATTTACTAGAAACAATTAAAATTCAGTTATGTAATACGATATCCAAAATATACGAACTGAATTTCGCAATATTATTATAACACTTCATTTTTAATTTAACTAGCTCTTCAGAAATGCCAATTCAGCTATATTGAAAAGTCCAATTTAATGTCATATTTAAATTTCGCCTCACAAATGTGTATTGCTAAACTATGCAGAACTTTTCTAACTTTAAAATTGCAATAATACTTTGTTTTAATACACAATTTAGCAATTATAATTCCTAAGTTTAATTGTGTAATAAGTTAATGTACACAAAGTTGTAAACGATTATATAGTACTTTAGTAAATATTTAAAGCATACTGCAGTATAATGTTAAATATTGGCCTCTACATGTTCGCATATTGAAAATATCTTAAATTCTAAAATATATATGAAAATAAAATTCGCTATTCGTACCTAACAGATATAATATTATTAAATTGAATATTTTAAAAGCTTATCCTCATATATGCTGAATAAAGGTTTTAATAATATAAATCAATTATATACATAATTTCAAGAATATAATAATATAGTATTTACCGACCGTTTGTGTATACAATAGGTAGGTTATATGACATGCAACAAATTTTGCATATGTATATAGTTTTTGATGAGAGCGCACTTCTCCATGGTAGGGAAGTGTAAATAAACTATTTTTAGCAGCCTGTCGGGTTGTGTGCGCACGCGTGTATCTCAAGTTCGGCTGAACCGATTTTGAAATTATATATGTATGTAAGTTTATTTCGATCATGGCTAGGATGGATCAACTTTTGGGATATATCAGGTTTAATTGTGTATTGTACTTTGGAACTGTACTTTTTAGGGGACCTGTTTTACATTTTTGACCATTTTGAAACAAATATTCAACCGATTTACATGAAAGTTCATATATAAGCAACTGGACGTTTGTAACGGGCCAAATATACTTTTTGCGTATATAAAGAGAAATAATCAACTGACTTCATGATATTTGAATTCTGGTTGTTACCGAAACTAACTAACTGACATCGCGTAGCATAAGGCAAAACTACAAAGTTATAGTAATAATAGTACAAAATTCAGTATTTATATAAATCTAATTACAAAATTTTGTAATAATTAAGAATTAATGTCGTTATGAAACTTATATATGTACTTTAATTCAGAAAATTTAAACATATACTGTGTACAGATATTTTACGTTTATTTATGTTTATGTGAGAATCTTTAACTACGTAATTACACTGATTTTGAGAAGTTGAAGTTTAACATTGCTTACAGATTGTAAAAAAAATTGATTTTAAAAAACAGCTTTTAAATTTAATTATTTTCACTTTAAACATTGTGGTGTAAAATATTTTTAAATATTTCAAAATTTTGTTCCTTTACGGGACGGATTTGAATAAAGTTTACGTTTTTTTTACAATAATTACATATATGGAATTCAGACTTTATTCTTAAATAATATAAGGTATGAAAATATTTTTACAGCTAATAATGGCTTTTTTTTGTTAAATGTGTGCACCTATAATCGATAAGTAATTAAATGCTGAATTATGCATTGACATACATTGATTATTTGCATATTAAAAATGTTTTAATTTTTTGATTCAAGATTAATATACTTATCACAAATAAATGAAAATAATAATTTTGAATTTTGAAAAAATTTCTTCTAACTTTTAAAATTCAGTAATACGATATGCCAGTGACTTTAGAATTGCGGTGATACTATATTGCTACAGAATTCAGAAACTAAAACTGATAAACTAAGTTTTGTGTTAATACCGTATTATTGCAATTTTGAAGTCAAGTATATTAACACTCAATTCGAAGCTTATAAATTGAACTTACAGATTAAACCTTAACAAAATACAATTAAAACCAAATAAAATAAATTTTTGTTTTTAATTTTATTTCTTGATTAACTTTTTTTTTGCCGTTTTTCATTTGAAATTCTTTTTTTTTTTTCAGAAAATTTGCAATTCCTTGCCAAATAAATTGAAACCTCAAAAAAAAAAATTGAAAGAAAAATGAAAATTATTGAATTAAAATATATTGTTTTCTCTTTTTAATTAGGTCATTTTAAATTTCACCTTTTTTTATAAATAATAATTTAAAAATAATCAAAAATTAATTTTAAATTTAGAACAAAAACTTAAAATAACGAAAGTATTCAATTAATTTTTTCCATTAATTTTTTGTTTTATACCAAAAATTAAATATTGTGGTATTATAATTGGCATTTGATCTTTTTCCTTTGTTATGCTATAATTGAATTTAATTTTTTTCTTTTTTTAGTGCACGTGCACCTACTCATATATTATTTATCATTATTAAAATTTAATGTGATTTCAAATATAACAGAACATTCAATTTAAAATAACAAAAAACAAATAATTTATTAAACGAAAGTTAATTATAAAGAAAAAATTCAATATAATTAAAAAAACACAAACAAAAATATTTAAAATGCATCTTTTTGAAGATTACAGGTATGTACACATGTTAAAATTTTATCCATTTTCTATTGTATATATTAAAAATTGTTTTATTATGTATGACATCCATAATGTCACCCACTTCAGAAATATATATAATCTTGACTTTAAAATCGCCTCAAAACTATTCATATTCCTACATTATTCAGCAGACATAAACTGAATTGCGCATTAATGTACCATTTTGCAGCAAATTTCAATCCAAGTATTTTTTTTTAAATTGCGGAAGACCGAACCCGTGTCGCTCTCCACACCTGGATCCTAGTAACTTTTGTAATCCGGGATCCGCTTTCATAAACAATTTTTCTAGTCCCCTGAAGAATCTTGGTATTATGTCCGCTCAGTATTATGTCCGTGTCCACCACGGCCTCACTTTGCTCAACCTTACCCCAGTCACCAGCCTCAAATCTGGACAACAGTCATCAGATAACAGAACAGAGAATATGCTCATCCATCTTTTTTTCACCATGACAAAATCCACACAAACGGCCTTAGATTGTTCTAATTTGTGAAAATGATATTTCAATCTGCACAGCTCAATGAGCAGGTCACCAACTTGGCCTCTCCACTTTTAAACGTCAAATACTCACTGACCCATCTAGGAAACGAACCAGTGAACAAGTACCTACAAATCTATGTGTCTATGATCCCATAAGTTCACTCAGAAAGGCGAGATCAGTGTAAGGTTCAATACCTATTGCCTAATCCTTTTTACAAATGTGAGCCTATGACCTACGTTAGCCACCCTAAAAAGGTACAAATAAGGAAATCAAATAAAGACTCACCTATAGTATTCGTATCTATGCTATAGATGGAATTATAAGCATTAGCATCGCAGCTAATTACGACCTGTTTTCCAGTCCGCTTAGCCAAATCCACCATCTTTTCCAAGCCCATAGGAGCGCACTTTATACATCCAGCACACACATTATAACACATAAACTGCCACCAGATATCCTTAACTAAATTCCAAAATTGAAACAATATTAATATGTTTCCTAAACAATAAATTTCCTTGATTCACTTTTAAAAGTTGCAGCTTCTAAGTCATCCCTGGAAAACCGCCTTTCATTTTTCCTTCATCTTGTAGGAGACGGTTCTTACTTGTTTCGCTGCTGTCTGTCAACACTCTTTATGTTGGTATCATTTTCGTACCGAGAGGCGAAATGATGCCAAAAGAACGCCTTATATTGTCCTTTTGCCTCCATGTCCAGCGGTATGCAGGCTGCTAGATGACGTTCCCCGATCTACTTGTAGTGCGGGATGAATTCCCCAAAGTTCGTCCAGATTTATCGTCTCTCAAAGCTCTTTTTTCCCGGTGGTGGATTGCTTTTTATCTGAACTTAATAAAATTAATTTTAGTCCGTGAAATAATTTATTGTTTCGTGAATCCTGGAATAGTTTTTTTCTTGTGTTAAATTGATTAAATTCTTGTAACTTTGTAGTCTTTAATTGCTTTATTCAAAAATTTGTAATGTGTGCAATAAAAATATATCTAAAGTCTCTAACGAAATGAAAAATTAGAGCCTTGCATTTCGTTATCACTTATACCAAAAATTAATAAACGTAAAAAATTAATTAGGAAATTAAAAAACAAGAGAATTAATAATTATTATAGAAAACTGTGTTGTGATATAAAAAAGGAAGTTGGAGAGAGTAAGGATTGATATTATGTTAACAAAAGAAGAAAAAAAGTGGTAATTAATATATTTGTTTTTGAATGTGAATAATAAACGTGGTAATATATCGCTGAAGTTGATAATAATAGGACTTCCGATTCCAATATCCTTGTCAATAAATTTAATAAATACCTTGTTAGTGCTCGTGATAAATATTGTAATGAGTTTTATGAAAATTGTTTTGAGATGAATATAATAGATGAAACTATCCCTTTAATATACCTTTGAAATGATATACATGAAAGGGATAGTTTCGTTTTTGAGCCAATTTCTTCTTCTGAACTGTTAAAAATTATAAATACTTTGAAAAGTTACAACTCTAAAGCTGCGAATTCTATAATAAAGTTTTAAAAAAGACTGGGTTCCAAAGTGTGGATGTTCTTGCGTATTTGCTTAATTTTTATTTTTATAATGCTGTTTTTCCTGACAATTTAAAGGTAGCTGAAGTTATAAGACTTGAACTATTAAAAGAGGAATACGTTTGAGATCAATTATTATAGGCCTATTCCTCTTCTTTCATTCTTCTCAAAATGCATTAAACGCAGATTAACTTGTTTAGTTGTCGTCAATTCGGTTTCTTAGCGGTAAATCTACAGAAAACGCTTTGCTGAAATTTTGTGAAGAAATCTACGAGGGTTCTAATAAGAATTTGTTAATAGCAGCCTTATTTAGTGATATCACAAGGCGTTTGACCCAGTCAATCATTACACTCTTTTTTTAAGATTTTGTAACTTTTGCTTTAGGTATTTTATATATGATTGGTTCAAGTGATATCTATCAGATCGATTTCAGGCCGTTCGATATTATATTATATATAGTTATAGCTACTTCTCAGGTGTCAAAAAGTACGAGTATTTCTGTAGAACCCCAAAAAAGTAAAAACTTATTTCTGTAAAACAAAATTTTTGCCTATCTCCCCCCCCCCCCTTTAAAAGTAAACTCTCTAAAACCCCAAAAATGGTATTTTTCAAATATTTATCACAGTGAAACGATGAGCATTTTTAAAATTTTGTAAACGCAGAAATATAGTGCTTTCTTCTTCCGTCGAAGCATGTCATATTTGAACTTTATAAAGACAACATGACCGTTAAAATTTACCGTTATCGAAAATCCGTTTTTTCCAAACTTTTGATGTCGTCTTTCTTGTAGACTTGTAGGTTGTGTAAGTCTGAAATTTTAACAGCTTCTAGAGACTAATAAACACTTGATTTCGTTTGAAGAAAATTTTTTCCCACCTCTACCCCGCCTCAATTAATCGCCTCTCGAAATTTGCCAAATTTGAATTTTTGGCGCCTTATGTTTCTTAATCTGCAAGCTTTTCCAAATTTCTACAAACGCAGAAAGCTAACCCTTAAAATCGAGCGTTATGTTAACACCTCTTTAAATGTATTTTTGCATAAATCGTTCGTCCTAAACGCAATCCTTGAAATAGTTTTGTACATGAATGATAGTAATTTTAATAGTGTGGGGACAATACATAGATTGTTTTTAAAAATAGGATTTTCACTTGTTGAAGAAGTGCTACATTACAAACTATTGGTTTGAGCCAACTTTTTAATTATATATTTAACTAATTTAAGCGATTTATGTTTAGATTTGTAATATTTAATTCATACCTTATAGTAAAACAAAAAAAAATAGAAAAAACTTGTATTACAACTAGCTTAACCACTGTTTCTGTCACATCCAGTCAGTTTAACTATAAATAGATATAATTTTGGCATTAGTTCAACTATAATTTTGGCATTTCGTATAAAAAGTTTTGTGCATTTAAACTTCTACGTAAATTTAAAAACTCATTTGAGTGAACCCCCAATTGTAAAATTTAAATTACAATCGGAGGGAAATAGGTATTCTATCGGAGTTCAATTTATTATGAATTAGTTTTTTTGTAGAACACATATTTTACTGAAATATTTTTTTAATTTTTTTAGCCAACGTTAGGAGCAGACTATGTGGCTAAAGACGGAATTATCAAAACTTAATAATAACAACCGTTTGTATATACAAGGTAATTGAATAATGAGTACAACATGATGTACGATCGTTATTAGGAAATCAAAACAGGATAAAACTTTTGTTCAGAAGTTGCTATAAAAGCTCGACGGTTTTCCAGATATAGAGATTTTAAGAAAATTTGATTGCACTAAATAAATTGCACAAAAATTGAAAACTATTAAACTACCTATTAAAACTAATCGCACCGAAAATATTTTCATGCGCAATATTGCTAAGACGAGACCATATGACTTACACTGTCACAACTTTATAAGATTTCATTTAGCGCCTAACTTTTATATCTCTACACGCTCTAACTTTAAAAGTGCGAACTTCACAAGTTGTACATCTCAATCAAAACATGTGGAAACATTTAAAAATGTGTTTGCTATGCCAAGTTATAAATGACATTCCCGTTTACATAATAATTTTATATTTTGTTACGCAAAAATTTAATGCGGCATTTTTCCAAATAGGCGGCAATTACAAATTTTCCAGTAAGCGCATCTATGTTTTCTTGTTTACTTACAATTGGGGAAAGAATTGCGAATTATTCTTAAAATTGTAATTTTTAAAATATCTTTTAATTTTTTGAACCATGAAATATCATCATTGATTTCTTAATTAACTCAATTAACTAAATCATTAAATTACCACAAAAACTTATCAATTTTTTAAGCTATAAATTTTTTTCTATAATAATTATTAAAATTAATAAATATTACATAGAAAGAGCATGAGCTAAATTAAGTCATGCGCCCAATCTTTTAAATACGAAAACACCCATAAAAAGAGAGAAGAAATATTTTTAAGAGTGTATTGGTATTGGTATCAGACACATACATGTGCCTTTCACATACACATACCTAAATCGTTATCCTTTTCAAAGTTTTGTTATTGTATTATTATTGTAATTTGGCATACATATAATAAATATTTTGTGACATAATCGGAAATATTAATCCATACTAAAATTTGAAAGCAGATTAAATAAAAATTATTGTTACAAATTTTTAGTTTTTATATATGTATGTTTTTTACATAAACTTACATGGAAATAGAAACAAGAATAAAAATAATGATAAAGTGTCAAAATTAAATTTGAAAGATAACTTCAAGTTAATGACATAAATTTCGAATGTGTCATATCTCGAAAAAGGAAGTATAATACGATAAAGTACTCAGACGCAAAGAAAGCACTGATTATTACTGACTGATATATTACACTGATACGGAATTTTTTTTTTAACCGTTTGACATGATCTTAAAAATAACGAAAATTATACAGATACAAAACATATAAAAAAAACTTATTTTAGTTCTTAAACTAATTAAATTTGATTTTAAGAAGATTAAGTTGATATAATTATCAATTATAAAAAATTTTTGATTTTTAAACAAAACATACAAAACTTTCATATTGAACTACAAAGTATGTCGTGATACAATTGATACTGATAATCTGATTACTATACAGGAACTATTCGTCCCAACCATTTAACATTTTGTTTGGAGAAAATTATCAAATCCTGAAAATCTCATTTTAGAATACATAACTATGGGGCGGACATTTCATCTTTGTTTTTATTATTCACATTTTTGAGAAACTTATCACTCATTTTATGCGTCATCTTTTAAAATATTTTTGGCAGCTGCTCTTTAATGAAATTTCATTTTTTTCCTTTATTCAATTTTTTTTCATTCACTTTTTTGCGACAATGATGACAGGTGTATACATGATTTTGCGATGGAACTTTTTTAAAATCAAATTCGAAACTTATTATCAAAGAACATATCGCAGTAATATTGCATAAATAGCAAATTCAGTTTATGAATTTCAATTGTTAAATTGTCTATTAACATCGTATTTTCCAAAACAGGGAAACTTTCATCCAAATTTTCATCAGGTCAAACAAAACAATGATGTAGCCAATTAAATCGGAATACCATGGATCTAATAATACACGGATAGCTAGCAAATAATAATTTTTGAAGCCAACATAAAATAGGTTGCTTTTTACGATGAAGTGCGAACGTATGTTCGAAGGGTATACTAAATTTTCCTTACCGTTTGTAACACTAAGAAATAATGTTCTAAGATATAGACTCAACTATATGTTTTTGATCAGTGTCGAATTTCGAGTCGATTTAGTTTTGCCTGTTCATCTGTCCGTTCGTCCGTCCATCCGTTCCAACGATAACTCAAAAAGGAATTGAGCTAAGTTCACCAAATTTTCACAAATGATTATAATAAATACCAGAACCATGTTTAAATTGCTTATGACCGAGGTACTGGTTCGAGTAGCTGCCATACAACTTCAAAATTTATTTGGCTATACCTAAGAAATTATAAAAGTTATAATATTGAATTTTCGTACAAACGAATATATTATTAGGGCCATTGTGTTTGATTAAATTCATTGAAATTGCTTGGCTCCTTCTGGTAGCTGCCATACAACTTCAAAAGTTATTTTGCTATATCTTAAAAACTGTTCAACCTACAGTACTGAAATTTTGTAAAATAAAATAAGTAAAAGTGGCAGCTATATCATTAAAAATTGTTGAGATCTCATGAGCACTTGTTCCAAACCTCCCAAAGTTATTTGGCGTTACATGTGTATTATTAGGGCTGTCATGTGATAAAAATCATTGGAATTTCCTTTTTCCTTGTGCAGCTGCAATACAACTTCAATAGTAGTACTGAAATTATTGTGAAGTCATAGTCTGCCCTTTAGTCAGCTATTGCATATTTGCTCACACATAGGATAATAAATTCGTACGGGTATCACAAAGTTGACACGATCAACTAGGTCATATTTTTTTTTCGTTTATTTTTATTTTTTTATCACATAAAAATTTTTGCCAGAAATGGTTTGAAATTATGATCAGGGAATATTAATATAGTAAGAAATTTATGTTAGATATTTTTTCAATAAAAAATTTATAATTTTTCAACATATAAATACATACATATTTTTACTTTAGACACACCTATCTTTTTCTTCAAAATTAAAACAAATTATGTTTACTTAATATTTCTGTATATTGTTGGTTATGTATATTACATTGAATTATTGACCGAAAAACAAAACAGTTCTTGTTAAACGTTCGAGAATATTAAATCCAATATTTTTTTTTTTTAAATCCAATATTAAGGGTTTTTCTTCATTATGCAATATTGTTTGAGTTAAACATTACACAAATAACTAAATGACAAAATCTAATTTTTACATACTTAGATGCTATTATTCTTATTAAACTTAACCTATGATTATCGTGCATCCTTTAACACAACAAACTCTTCCCATACCAATTATAATAATAAATTTAACTTTACCACTGGATTTTCTTAAGTTCTAATGCATTTTAAAAACCTTAAAATTAAACAAAAGCGGTAAAGGAACAAACTCACTGTGTATGATGTGATATAAGTCGATTCAAAAACACTCTCATTTTTATACACAAGCTAGTATAATAAAATACACTCACTGAATTTTTGAATTTCATTTATTGCAGTTATATAAGGTTACACTCGTCTTAACATAGGAATACTATATATATATATATAACAAAATGCTTAAAACATACATACCTACTTTAAGCGAATTGCTGTTGCAATTATTTTCTATTTAGAAAGCAGAACAAACAAGTAGTTAGCATTACCAAAATATTTTTGCGTCCACCTGTACAGTTACGAGTTATCTGTACACAGCCACTTTTCAACAATATCATATAATGATCATATGATTTCTACAAATGACCATCATCTGCAAAATTGGCACTGACACTACATGACCCTAATCATTTGACCTTTGAAATTAGTCGCACTTGAAAAAAGTCATTTGATATTTTTAAATTCAAATGTGATTCAAATGTGTACTCTTTGTGCGGTCCAAAAAATACATCTGCAAAAATCACGTAAATTAATATTTGTATACATCTGCAAGGAGAGAATCAACATTTACTCAGTTTCATCTGCATCAAAATCGCTACTTTTACTTAAATTTCAATTTCTTCCACTTCGCTCATTTTTGAAATTACTTTTTTAAAGATGCATAAATAACGCAATTACAGCTACAATTTTAAAATACATATTTGCAAAATTAAAATAATGGCGAATGTCTTACTTGCAGGATACAGTTTTCAAAATGATGACAAATATCACATGACATAGACAACTTCAAAGATCTTCAAAGCAAAATATCTAAACTACCAAAAACGTGAAACAGTATTTTAAAAAATGTTTTATTATTTTTGAATTAATATTTACAATTTAAAAAAAATATATATATACAGCGTAATTCAGTAAAGAAAACAATATTATACATAATTGTTTAGGGCATCAAAAATGGGTAAAATTTTCTGACCAAAAAATGTCAACTATTAGAGTACTTACAATCAATAAAAATAAAAAATAGTGAAAATTTTGTGATTGTTATATTTTATTAGGCCCCTTAAAATCTTGACATAGGAATGGTTTGACATAGAAGTATTTCCTGTACCGTAAAAGATTTCTTAAGATTTTGGAGACTTAAATTAAAGCTTAAAAAAGTGGCTAAAATTCTAAAACAAAAAAATTTAAAGTTTCTGAAACTTTCACACAAAAGTTTGGGAATGAAAAAAATTAAAAAAATACAAAATGGAAAAAATGGGTGTTTTTCCAAAGTTCGAATGCTTGATATTCCGAAAATACTTAAAACACAAAATCAAATAATATGTTGCTTTCAAGTTCTTTACTTTATATGTTGCTTTTTAGCCCTTTTAAAAACTGTTCATTTGAAGCCTCGTATCTCTTTTTCGTGAAAATTTCTTAAAATCCCTGTATCTCGGAAACTGTTGAGTTTTGACAACCAGTTCCAAACAAAAATTTTACGCATTTTTGATGACCTAAACAATGATATGTAATATTGTACTCTTTATGTATTTCTCGCTTCAATGTTATTACATTGAAATTTTCAATATTTTTATCACAAAATAAAATTTATTTTTTTAGAAAATTTTTCTTGGTAACATTCCCAAAAAAATATTAAAATTTAAATATTTTTCACTTTTATGAAAACGAAAATTTAAATAATAACTTAAAATAGCCCACAATTTGGCTGTATTGAAGACAAGACACCATGATAATGCTAAAATTTGCTAAAACATAATTTTATATTGTCAATTTAACGTAAAGGTACACTGTGTTATATAGCTTAATGTTTTTTATTAGATATATATACGAGCGCCGACGAGGAAAAATATACACACACATAACTAAACCTTAATTCATACTTTGAACATAATTAAGATATGAACTACTGCAATTTTCAAATTATATTCTAACGTCGAAATAAAATTCCCTTATTGATTCTAGTGACATCTCGTAACCAATATGGAAAGTTCATTGAAAATTTTTAAGTTTTTTTAATAAAATATTTTTGAGTAAGTTCAAATCTAAGTTTAATATTATCTAAAATCTAAGTTTAATATTAGAAATTGTGTGTATGAAAAGAACGTTTTCTTTGGAATAAAATACTTTTATTTTTGCTAATATATTTCGTGAGCTACATACATACGCACTTCGTCAAAGCTGATTTTCTTCCAAAGACAAAAAATATTAATATTAAACTCTATTTAAACTCTATTTAAATTATACCTGGCTTAATATAAAATTTAATTTTTTTTATTATTATTTCTATTTTTCTGTATTAATTATAAACTAAAATGTGTCAATGCTTAAAGCTGGTCAAACAAGTTATTTAAAGAGTTAAGTTGCCGCGTTACTTTTGTTCGTGTTCATTAGGTAATCCTTGTTTGATTTGTTTATCTGCAAGCTCTCATGAACTTTTCTCCTGTGTTTTCCTTTTACTGTATTCATGAATATTCGTTACTTGGTACTCCTGAAATTTATTTTGCAAGGCCTTATGAGATGATTTAAAGCACGCATGTCTAGATTTTGATAAAGAACGTCGATTTGCGAAAAAAAATTGAAAGATAAAGCCACTCGACTTTCCGTTCTTGAGACTATTTCTTTCCAAGTACTTTAAGCTTTTGGGACTATTTCAATTTTTGTTGTTTTTTTAGCTATCACTATAGGATCGGATGAACGTTTTGCTTTAAGCCGGCAGGAGCTATAGTTCTCAACAGAATCAGAGCATATTAAAGCTCTTTATAAAAAATCATAAGTCCTCATAAAGTTGTTTATGCACTCAACGGCCACTTAGCAATTTTGTATGTTGGGCGCCTTTTGAGAAAATAATATCCCTGAACTGCTCTCTTCTGAATTTTTGGTAAGCGCATCAGTTTCGCAGATCAATGGATTCAGTCAATAGTTCTTGTATAAATTTACGATCTGCTTTCCTTTGAATTAATGAACATAATTACCAACGACAACTTGAAGGTATTGAAAAAAGTAAAAGCAAAACACAGAATGAGAAGTTCATGAGAGCATACAATTACATAAATGAAACAAAAATCATTTGGTCAAACTTAATTGTTTGACCAGTTTTATGTTATATCAAAAATATATATCTGTTTTATGTATATATTAAAAATAGAAATAATAATAATACAAATTAAATTTTAGATTAAGTTAGGTATAAAATTAGATTAAATCAGGTTTAATATTTCTAACTTAAATAGAGTTTAATTTTAAGTTGTGCTGTGTTAAATAGAAGAAAATAAGCTTTGATAAAGTGTGTATTTAACGCACGAAATATACTAGCTAAAGGAAAAGTATTTCATTCCGAAGAATAAAATATATTTTTTTGGAAAAATATTAACATTTTCAATTCAACAATTTCAAAAAATGTTTTTAATATTAGAGTTTTTAACATTATAGTTTTAACAAGATAAGCTTCTTTATAAAAGGATATTTGAAGTTAATAAAGGATTAGGAGGTCTGCGTATATCTTCTGGGAGAGTATGTTGCTCTCGCTCGTAGGAGGGGGGTTATGTTTTCACAGCGGCGGAGTTGTGGCCCTCCGGTCCTCACAGGATGTTCGAGTTCATCTGCAGCGTGGCCCTAAAAAACACTAAACAAGAGTAAAATATGCAACAATATATGCAAATGATGACCGCCAAAGTCTAAAAATTTTTCTCTAAACGTTATTTTTAATATTATTGAAGAAAACAAATCTGTTAGTGAGCGCGTCTGTATATTCTAAACTGTATTTGCAAATCCATAAAATTTAGAAAGAAAAATAATTGAACATTTACTAGATTTTTACATTTATAATCCATAAATATAGGTTTAAAATAGAAAGAATACTTTACTTGTAAGTTCCATTTACAAATTAAAGTTAAATGTTTTATTTGAAGATGTTCTGCTAATTAATTTTTAAAATAATGTAAAGTTCGAACCGTTAGGTTTATTTGCTGAATCCTTATTTTCATGAAAAGTTTCTTGATTTAAGAAATTATCAAACAGGGTATGTGCATAAAATTTTGAGAAAATCATTTCTCCTAATCACCAGTTTTCAGTAAAAGATATAGTTTGTAGGGTGCTTAAAAACTGTCACTTTTATGACATTATTAAGAACATGTTTATGTCACTTTTTTTTGTGACAACAAAAAGTTTGACATTTAAAAACATATTAAATACATACGTGTTAGTGTATAGAATGAATAATAAAATTTAATTTTACAACCCAATATTTTATAGACACGAATAACGCATAAACATTTACACATATGTAATTTGTATGCATATAAATACATATCCATATATGTATTTATTTCGGTAAGCAGCACATATTGATAAATTGTAAACGATGCAATAAAAATCGAAATTTGAATCCCGGACATTGGCTCTTTTACGCCGTTAAATGTAAAAAAAACGAAAATTGTTTTTTTCTAATGCGCTTTGTAAAAATTTAAAAATTTACTTTGACAAAAATAAAAACCTCTCAATAATTTTCCAAATTCTGCTTACAAAATCATGTATTATTACAAATGTAAAAGAAAAAAAAATATTTATCAGAACTTTTCTTATTGTTATCTATTATAACATATAACGTAATTCAATCATTCACATATAATATGAATTTATAATTCAGTAATTTATCAAAGAATTTATTATGCATTATTACAGTATTATACTATTACTGAAATTCCGATATCACGGTTAATAATGTAACGGTTAATTAAGAATCCCTTACTTTGAAATAGGCATAATGTGAATTAATTAATATTTTAGTCATACGGATATTCCTGACAAAACTGCAGTAATACAGTATTATAACTATTATTATTATAATTATATTTTTCAGCTTATAAATTTTATTGATGTATAGAGTAGTAAACTAACACTTTTGAAATCGTAAATTATCTATACTAAAATACAAAATTTTTTTTTCTTCAATTTGAAACTTTTTCAATGTTATTTGTCCTGTATGTATTTTATTAATGCACAATTTAACAATAAGAGTCGGATGAACTAAATTGTGAAGTTATCTTTGACTTGCAAAATTCAGCAATGCGGTAGTAATATATAATTCAGCAATTCACATCTATAAGCCGAATTGCGTATTAATATCATATTTTTGCATTTTAAAAGCTAAGATATACGTTAGTTAATCATATTATCACTGCATAGGAATATATTTTTTTTCAAATTCAAATTCAATTTCAAATTTGAATTTGAATTTGAATTTGAATTTGAATTTGAATTTGAATTTGAATTTGAATTTGAATTTGAATTTGAATTTGAATTTGAATTTGAATTTGAATTTGAATTTGAATTTGAATTTGAATTTGAATTTGAATTTGAATTTGAATTTGAATTTGAATTTGAATTTGAATTTGAATTAGAATTTGAATTTGAATTTGAATTTGAATTTGAATTTGAATTTGAATTTGAATTTGAATTTGAATTTGAATTTGAATTTGAATTTGAATTTGAATTTGAATTTGAATTTGAATTTGAATTTGAATTTGAATTTGAATTTGAATTTGAATTTGAATTTGAATTTGAATTTGAATTTGAATTTGAATTTGAATTTGAATTTGAATTTGAATTTGAATTTGAATTTGAATTTGAATTTGAATTTGAATTTGAATTTGAATTTGAATTTGAATTTGAATTTGAATTTGAATTTGAATTTGAATTTGAATTTGAATTTGAATTTGAATTTGAATTTGAATTTGAATTTGAATTTGAATTTGAATTTGAATTTGAATTTGAATTTGAATTTGAATTTGAATTTGAATTTGAATTTGAATTTGAATTTGAATTTGAATTTGAATTTGAATTTGAATTTGAATTTGAATTTGAATTTGAATTTGAATTTGGATTTGAATTTGAATTTGAATAATGAGAAAATTTCTTTTATTTTAACGGATTTTATTGTCTGTTTTATCAGTCCAATGTCCACGACATAAAAAAGGAATAAATTATCAAAAATTTACAAAATTATACATACATACATATTATAGAAGAATATGGATATGTATATAAATATGAGGTTGTAAAAAGGAGAAGTAAATTTTTTTATGTATAATCGTAATTTTCTTTTTCATCATCTTCTTCTATCTTAACCATATAATATTTATTTATGCCAGTGTTAAAAATTTCTCGCATATAAAGAAAATTCTTTTTTTTTTAAACTTTATTTTGTAACCCAGAATATATTTTAACAAAAATATAATAATTATAACTATAATAATAATAATTATAATAAAACAATAATAATAAAATATAATTTAGCAATATAATAGTTTAATAAAACAGTTATTATAAAATTTTTCAAAAAAAAAAGTAAAAAAAAAACAATATTTTCTCATTGTAATTTTTTTTTATTTTTTGTTTTCTATATTATTAATTTTTCTCTTATATGGGTGCTAAAATATATATATTGTAATACATATATATAAGTATTTGCGTTTTATATTTTAATTTAAATTTTAGAAAAGTTTTAATTTTTGCAAGTATAAATTTATTTGGGGAATATGTTGTTCAAATAATTAATAAATATTTCAAAATATTAAATCATATATGTATGTTAATATGTATGCACACATCAATATATACATATATAAATTCAAAAATTACTTCATATACATATACCCACACACATACAATCACGCGCATTATTGTTGTGATGTGGTAGGTGAAAATGAAATCTTAATTTTTGGTAATCTGAAAAAAAATTAACAAAAACAAAAAACCCCTTAATTTCAAAATATGACAGGAAACATAGTCAAAGGAATAGAGAAAGAATGACAGAAAGAGGAGGGAAAAGAAAGAGAATCTTAGCATAGAAGGGCGGATATGCAAAAAAAAAAAATACAAAAACATAAAAAACACGAACGAGTATATATGGATGGCTGGACGGACAAAGGAGTGAAAAGAATTTTTTGTTTAGAGTAACGAGTTTCAACAAAACAGAGAGTCTCAGTACAAAAAAAAACACGCGTTTGTATCTATTAAAAAAAACATTGAAGTTAATTTAAAAAATTGATTTTTCTTTTTTTAATGTTAATTTTTTTTCTTTTTTTCTCAATTATTACAAAAAAGTAAGTGTTTTTACAAAAATTGTTTCTCTATTTGACAAAAGAAGAAAGTGTTACTTTCGTTATAAATTTTGAAAAGAGTGAAGTAGTGTTCTCTTTTCATTTTTATTTTTATTTTGGAAAATCAAAAAGGAAAACCTTGGAAAAAAATGAAATCAAATCGGAAACTCTTCGAGGTTTAAATTAAAAAAAATTATAAAATGGTTGTTTGTGTGTATTCCTAATTATAATTTTTTTCTTTTTTTTTTCGGTTTTTTATTTTACTTTCTTTTCCCAGCATACTTATATGACAGTGATATATAGTAATTTTATAATAAAAAAATGTGATGATTATTTGAAATAACTACAAGGAAAATAACAAAATTAAAAAGCAAAAAAGAGAAAAAACCTATATATTCTAATGTCATACACCGATACATAATAACATTACATATTTATATATGAAATTCAAATAATACAATTATGACATTCAATTGTATAAAAAGAAAGAAAAAATAAAAAATTAAAAAATATGCAAGAACAAAATATATTAAAGAATTATTAAAAAAATTTAAATTAAATCAACCGTGTCTAATCACATATAAATAATACAGAGAGAAACAGAGAAAGATTGATGTATAACAACAAAATAAACAAAGAAAAAAAAATCAATTTATGGTAATTGCAAAATTTTCACAAAATTTAAATTTTTTACATATATTTTCGGATTATATTAATATTTCTTATTATAATATGTCATATCATATTTACATATATTTTACAGATGTAACATTCCCCCCCCCCCCCCCCCCAAAACACCCACATATATACATATATATATAATTATTGTTATGATTCATTATCCTATGCATATGTATACAGGTATATAGAGCTATATACATATATATAGAGCCCGGATTTAAATAATTTTGCGCCAGTTTTGTAACTCACGCCCTATAAAAATCAAACATATATTATTATTTATTTATCATATGTATGTATACATGTAGAGATCGTCATAAGGTTTTTTTATGTTATAAATATATTATTATATGTTCACGTGATGCCGTTACTTATTTATAGTAATTTACATAAATACTAGATTTTTATTCTTATTCACAAGCACTATAGTATATGTCACATTTAACGTTTCGTATATAAAAAAGTCTTAATAACCTTATTAATTGCTTTTTATACAGAATGTGATCCATCTAGATGTTTTACTTTCCCCAACAATATGAAAAATATTTACTCGTGTTAGCTATAATGTCCATACTGTCTAAGTAGCAAAAAAAGGCTTAGTGCTTCACAAATAATTAATATTTAATGAAAGTTGGAGTTATACGATCACAAAAATTTATAAATTCGTTAACCAGCAAGATGCTAAGTGCTTTCTTAAAATCTTTGTTACAAAGGTGGTATAGTAAAGAAGCACAAATATGCTAAGTACATCAGTTGGTATTAATAATTTTAACATTATTACTTAGTCATTTTATGCTAAATGCAAAGCTGTGCAACTAAGTAACTTTTCTGCAAAATCTCCTACTTTATTAAAAAAACTCTTTTGAAGTAAAAAAATTATTTAAACAGTTTAATTAATTAAAAATAAAAAAATAAGAATTAAATTATATAGTGTTATTCAAAGTAATAGTTTCTTTTCGCAAAATTTGCAAACTTTCAGAACGCTCCCCTACAAAATATGAAATTTGGCACTAAGCATATCTTTACGCTTCACCATCGTTATGTACCCACTACATAATTCAGATTATAGATACGTATTCATTACTGAATTCTTTGACATATATATATATATATATATTGTAGTATAGCATTACTATGTAAATATACATATTGCGTTTCTGTTTTATTAGGCAACCATACATACGTTTGAAGCTCTAAATTATTTATGTTAAACTGGAGTTTAACATAATTTATAATTACGGCATAAAATTCATTTTGGTTTCCTTTGAGATGTCTTAAGAATTCAGTACAACTATATTACTTGATATTGAAAATACAATAATACGAAACTGCTACACAATTCCAATATATAATTTAGCATTATAGAAGTAAAAAATTATGTTGATCTATTAGTAGGTTTAGTTCTAACAATCTTGTATAACATTTTACATACACATTTTATGTACATAATAAATTGGTATTTATTAGTAAACCAGGTGGCGTGCTACTTTCTCTAAACGATTCTCGCATTTGCAATTTTGACAAAATGTAGATCGAATGAAGCAAAAATGGTACTTCAGAATTCTACTTTCGCATATGTTTCATTCACTTGCCATTTTGTTTACGAATCCTATTGCGAAAGTTTAAGTTTTTGAAAAAATAAAACTTAACAATGTAAGTGTTACATTTATTTTGCTTTATTAAATTAAAAAACCTTGCATTTCTAATTTACTTTGCAGTTTTATTTTTATGGGACTTAACTTTTTATCTATAGTCTTACAAACTTCGGTTATAAATTCGGCTGCTTAAAAATCTTTTGGTATCCATATTTTAAAAAATTAACAATTATACTTTTTAACATACACATATTTAAATGTATGTATATTAATTATATCGCCCCCTTAATATACATATATTTAAATGTATGACTATTTTAAAATAATTCGAATGTGTATTTTCAAAAAACTGTCAGAAATGTCAAAAACAAAATATTTTAGAAATGCTGCCAGTTTAAATTTTTTGTTATGCGATTTTGTTACATAGTACCACATCACTTGCGAATCGCAAATCAACTTACAAATTGGCGACTTTCGGATTTTTAGATAGAACACAATAAATGATTTATTGCATCCTAAAAGTTTGATTTTGTTTTCTCCATTTTAATTAGACTATCTTACATTCATCAATTTTTAAATTATTTCAACACAACTTTACAAACTTAAGCAAAAGAACAAATGCCAAAATCTTAAACTAACAATCCGGCTACATACTTGCACTTATGTATGTTCTTGATATGAATGCATTTCATTCAAATTTCATTTGCATGACTTTTAAATCTTTCACATTTTAAGTTTTAAGTACTGAACCAGCTGTTTTTTGAAGGGCTAATTATAAATATAAAATAAATCAGAATTAAATCATTGGTTTGAAAAGTAGGATTTTTCCTATTTCTTTTTGAAAAACAATCGTCCATTTACATGTAAATTACATAATGATGAAATTCGAAAAACTAATATAAATGACTATATTTTCCAATAAAAAACTTTCATCATTACTTTTCCTAAGAAATTTGGAAAGCAGCTTCATAAAAATTAACAGACGAAAATTGAAATTCTACTAAGTCTGACAGGCGATAATTTTAAAAAAATATACAATTGATTAATATTTGATAATTAACAAATAATTAAAATCTTAATATTCTTTATCTTACGAGTATTGTTAAGAGAAAAACAATATCAAAAATTTGGAAGAAATGGGTTTCAAATTATTGTTAATTTCAATAACTATTTTGTCATTTTAAAGTTTGGATATGCAGGTTACCAATAAGAGAAACAATTCGTTATTTTTCTGCGTTTTCGAAATGTTTGCGGTTTCGATACAATGATCGATAAAAAATTTGTATTTTTGGGATTTTAAGGGTCACAAAATTTTCACGGGAGGTAAATTTCTAGAGAAATAGGATATAGAACAAAATCTGACAAAGATTCTTTCGTATATAAAATTTCAGTTTTCTATCTACTTTATCCCAACTTTGATGGAAAAGTGCTGAACTTCAATAATTTTGGTCATCTTGTGTGGCTTTTTTATTTTTAATAATCTTGTTATCACATTTTGTAACGTCTGATAGGAAGATCACGCATCACGAGGAGTATTTGTAGATATACATAATATCGTACCATAACTATATAATGTTTTTTGTAAAGTCTAAGAAAGATAAATTTATTAATAAATCCTTTTTAATACTTTTCCAAAAAAATTTTGAAAAAAAGTGCTTGTTAGTTTCACTCTGTCTGTCCGTCTGTCCGTGTGTCTGTTTACAAAACTTCTACACCCTTGAAGATACAAAGCTGAAATTGTATATATATATATAGATCTTTACTAGAAATTTATTTCCGTAGAACAAAATTTTTACCTATCTCCCCCACTCTAGAAGTTATACCCCCCCGAAACCCTAAAAATGACCTTTTTTAACTATTTGTTGCAATGAAACCATAAGCATTTTTAAAATTTTGCAAACGTATAAAGGCAGCGGCTTGCTTCCCCTATCGCGGTATACTACTGGTAAACTTTAGAAAAACAAAATGGCCTCTCAAATTTACCGTTATCTAAAGTTTTTTTTTTCCAAATTTTTGATTTCGTTTTTCTTCTAGACTCCAGCCTGTAGAAGCTTGAAATTTTAGGGGCTTTTAGACATTAACAAATAGTTCATTTCGTTAGAAGAAAATTTTTTTCCATCTCCACCCCCTCTCAAGTTATCGCCTCTTGAAATTTGTAAAATATGAATTTTTGGCGCCTTATATCTCCGAAACCGCAAACGTTTTCAAATTTCTATAAACATAAAAAGCTAGCGGTAAATTCCATGACATTAAAAAATATAATTATTTTTCTTAACTCACACAATTAACCCTTAAATTCGAGCATTATGTTAACCACTTTTTATATTAATTTTTGCTTTATTTCAAAGACTGCATGAATGCATCATCCTAAATATATGCAATCCTAGAAATAGTTAAATATGAATGAAAATAATTTTAATAGTGAGATAGGTATACATAGACTGTATTTAAAAGCAGAATTTTCACTTGTTGAAGGGAAAAGTGCTACAATACAAACCATTGGTTTGACCTAACTTTATTGTAAATGACAGCTCTTTTACATTTCTTTACGACCTCTTTCCTTTATTTACAATACCATTTACAATATATAGTTACGGTGTATTTTAAGTCAATGGGCCGTGACCTCAAAAATCGTGTTCTCAAAAGCCGTGATCTTAAAATTATGGTAATACTGTTTTACTATATGTGTAACTCAGCAAATAAAATTTTTATTTTAATATTGTTCTACTAACAATATCCATGTATTGATAACATGAATATTGTTAGAGGACCTTTTAATATTCGCCTACTAACACTTCCATGTAATATGCATGTATTTCCGGTTGATTGATCTCGATCTAGTTAGGTCTCTTTCGTTGCCAGCGTCGTAAACTTCACCGTCACGTCTTAGCAGAGCAATTTTGAAGTCTAGTGTATAAGATTTTTAATTAAAAATAAAATTAAAATTTAATTTTTCAAATAAAATTTTCAATATATTTGGGAACAATGATTAAATAACATAAAAGTTTAAAGAAACGTTGCTTTATGGCAACCCAATTTTTTATGTCTTAAGAAATTAAAAAGTATTTTGAACTTACCTGTTATTATATCTAGATTTTTTTTTTCAATAAAAAATTTATTAATATTTCAGATAACTTTACAAAAATATAAGAAATTCATTGATTATAATTAACATTTTTGATTTTTTAAGACTGTTAATAATTTAAAACTAACGTTTTTTAAATAATTTTTAAATAATTATCAATTGTAATTTCTAAAATTTTTTATATGTTGTTTAAGTTTACTTTTAAAACCGTCCAGCCTTTCACTATTTTAAATGCTTGCAGGAGGACTGTCAAATAATTTTATTGCACTGCATTTTAAACCATTTTGCTTTTTAGT